TTGTTAAATGGAGGCCCGATTGCGGTCGCATTGGTTTACAAATATTCCAACAGATACAATAAGCATCATATCCCATGACGCGTTGCTTAATGTGTACGAAACGAGTATTTGTTCTAATGCAACAAATTTGGATAACTACAATTACAGCGTACAATTCATCTGATTGAAATTATTTTACATCCTAAATACAAATGAATTGTTGTTCTCTTGTTTTTTCTTTAAACAAAAAATGTTTAATTATCCAGTAAAATAGAATCGATCAATTTTTGTTTCACCGGACAATAAGTAATTAATCCTTGCAAATTCATTCCTATATACGCGAATGTCAATTCAATTTCATATTTTCCTCGCAAATAATACAGACAGTATTTACAACATTTTTTAGTAAAAACTGCCACGAATATGCTGCAATATTCATTTGCAAACAAGAGGTAGCAAACGATGAATTGGAGGCAATGAAAATTACAAAATTAAATTCAATCGAAATATGTTTGAATCGTCGAGTTGCTAAAATACACAGAAAAATGATAGAAAAATATGCCAATATTCAATGGAAAGTAGGAAAAAATGCTTATCTCTGTTAATTAAAGTACAATGTAGAGAGACGATATACAATAAATTCAGTACAATAGGAACGAATTTCACGAACCGAACTGTTCGGAAAGCTGGAAATACTGTGCCGAGGTTATTGCTTCCTCTCGACAGGTTTCAATCCCTCCCCTAAAATGCGAAACTTCGTCCTCTTTGAAAAATTGTACTCTCCTCGAATCAGCCTTAGCATACGAATGGGAAACGCGTGACTGGGAACAATTGAACACCAGCGACTGTTTGACAATATTGGAAAGAAGAACAGCTGTCAATATCTGTCTTTTAATTAGGAAGACTGGTGAAAAATTGGAATGACAATTTTTCTAAATAATGAAATTCGAATATTGTAAGATTATCGCGAATAAATTAACAACTACAGCATTTCCATAAAGTGCATTCGAAAGATAATTACTTGGAAATAATTGAACCATACGAATGCTTCTGTGGTTGGCATACATTCTGGACTATGCAATAACATTAATTACCTAATGTTCATGATGTTCATAACCATAAGGTTCATGATGTTTAATCACGAACCCACAATAGCACATATTAATCCCTATCATTCGTATTCATTAATATTCATTGTACATATAACAGATTTGTAGTACAGGACATCAATGACCCCATAGAATTCACGGTACAATTAAACTCAAAAGTAAATAAAATAAATTAAAATTACCTAAACTTTGGCCCGCCATATCTACAAATTTACATAAAATATCTAAATATCGTTTATACCGTTGGAAACGAGAATTCTTTCTCTGTAAAATGCCGTTCGTTTGGTGTCGATCGGATTTCCGGTTCCCGAGATATCGCGATGTAAAGAGGAACATGATTTTGGTTGTTTTACTCTGTCTGCCTGCTCGCATAACCGGTTTCCTTGTTTCCCCACTCCATCACTGACCTACCGCAAGCTGTACGCTGGACAGTTGAATGAGTCATCTTTTTACTACGCTTACTACTGCTACTACTACCGTAGTAATAGTAAAAAATGTAGGTCACTGTGTCACCCATTCATAAATTGTAGGGTACTAAAAATCGCTGTATCTTGGGAACCAATTGAGATATCGACGTGCAACCAATTGTATTTTGTAGAGGATACCTTTCTTTATGTACTGAATTTGTTTACTTGCAAAATTATTGTTTATGTTTTTTGTTATTGCAAATTAAAATTTTTATTACTACTTTTAGGATGATTCTAACACTGTAAACTAATTTCATTGACATTTTAGATAATTATACGCATCATATTAACCTTTTTATTGTCCTCGGGAAATGTGGTAATAGCGGGGCTCGTGGAATTGAAGAAAATAAATGAAATGCGATTTTTATTTTGTTCACGATAGAAGGGTTAATGGAATACTCAAACAAACACCGAAAGGCGTATCACTGATTTTATACGAAGAAAGGTTAATTAATTATATGCGGTGGACACAAGTTCTCTGTTTGTATTTAATTTATTACGAGTGTGTTTGCATTACGGATTAAAGCAAACTTTGTTTCTGTGAATGTGTTTAATTTAAACCATTTCTAGCGCAAACTACGGAATGTTAATTTGCTGTTTTGACTTTAATTTAGAGGTGTTTTCAACTAGTTATGTTTCTTAGATTGGCACGCTAAAGATCGGTCTACAAATATTTCTGTTATTTATGATACATGGAAATAAATCTAATAAAGTAAAATAAATATGTATACTGTCCAAAGCATGCAAATGAAATTTGTATCATAAACTTGCAAAATTCAATATTGTACAAATGAAATATTTACGTTTTTTGCTATATGGCAATACAGTATTTATGCTTTGAAATACGAGCACTTCATTTAAGTTTCTGCGACTTAATATTACATTTATGTCAATCCTTTCTCTGCCACCCTACATCTTGTGTTCCAAATTTCGAACATTTCATTTATTCCTATTCATTGAATTTCAATAGCCCATTACATTTAACTTCCTTTTAATGATCAAACCATCATAATCTGTCAACTTTCCCAAATACTTATTGTTCACTTTCAATGCTTCGTTACTTCCAACTGTATCGTTTATAAATTCTCCAATTCTCTAAATTTCAAGTACTATTCCTTGAACTTGTCTGTGCAGTGACGCAGCATTGAAACGAAATCTAGAAGACTGAGAAAAGCCAACAAGTCCCTTTCTCGCCTTGTTTCTGGGATCCCAGGGAAACGTAAGAAGGGGAGAACGGTAGTTTCAACTCTTTCCCCTCGAACTATGAGTGGATATCCAACAGCTTAAAAGAACGGGAACTTCGATTTGTTACAACACTTTCCGGGGGAATTCACTTTTAGTTACGAGCTTGGAATTCAACAACCCCTAAACGGGAAAAACGATCGAGAAATAAAACGTGTTACCCCCCTGTTTAACTATTTATCTGTTATTACAGCATGATAAAGATTTGGTAATCCAGATAATGAAAAAGTACATTAAATTACTGGCCAATGGAACTTTTAGCCAATTTACCGTCGCAATCAAGGTCTTTATTTACGCGAGGCGAGTGGTCGAATAAATAATTGTCGGGCGAAATGACAATTTTGCAGGTATTACGAACTCTGGTATATGGTCCCGGTGAGATTGCAAAAAGTCCTGCTATTAATGCAGAAGCACATAGAGCCGCGTCGTTTATCAGTCGCTAATCTTATCTCATCGTCGATGCAGATCTTTGAAATGGTAAAATTCGTTACTGGTCCGAATAAATCGTCGGTATCTCAAAGTGGACAGAGGCAGATCTATCTCTGTGCCTGCATCGCAGTATCCCAATTTTTGTTTCATCAATGAACAGACGTTTTAGAAAAAAGTTCCATTCTATTCGCGAAAACGAGTAAATGTATCTGCGCGAACCATTGAACTTGCAGTGCATACTCGTTCAAACGTTTCGAAATACGATTCGACATATGTATTTCAGAATTATTCAATTTAAAGTATACTTGTCACTAGAATCCACACGATTTGTTCGGTGATTGTCGATATCGTAAGTCGATAATTAAGTGGAGAACGAGTGACGAATAATTCAACCACGAAACAAATGAATATTACGCGACGCATGAGATAAACCGCGGTAATTAATGCATCGCAAACGTTCATTTAAACAAGATAAATTTGACAAACGCGAAATTACAACCGATGCCAATTTCGTTGTAAATGTACCCACCAAAGTATATGTAATTACAACGATATCCACTGCTCTCGAAATTAATTAAGCACCTTAATTATTTCTCTCGCTAAATCAATACAGGGATTGTCTTTTAAAAATTCTAATTTTCTTGCTCCATAACGAAAGGAAAGTAATGCAGAAACACTGTTGAAACAAACGAGAATAATATTTTCAATTCACCAGGCTTTTTTAAAGCTGTGGAATATTCAAACGCTATGGTAAAACTAGTTCCCGACAAAATTTCATCGTTACATCATTTTACTCGGCTCCGTTGACGTTATTTCTTCTGAAGGTCTTATTAAAATCCCAGGATCACGGGATCGTTTCATAGTTCATCATCGTTTCCGTTTCCGTTCCCGTCTCGTCTCCTTTTTTTATTACGTTCAAGGGACAAGGAACGAAAGGAAACGGAGAAACTACGCGTTTCCGCCCTAAACGAGGACTTTTTCATAACCCGAGGAATGAAACGAACGAGCATCCCGTACAATTTGCTGAATTCTTTCGCGGACCGACGCCGCCTACGTTGCGTGGCATATTAAATTTCAAAGCCATGTAACTTACACGTGGCTCGAATAAAGGTTTGAAATTTCGCGTTGAAGCAAGCTGACTCAAAACACAGCCTGCTCGCGTGTAATGATTCGGAAACAATGGCAGACAGAAATTTGATCAAAAAACCTGTGGTTTTTCAATGGTAATTAAACGTGTACATACCCTGAATAATGTTGAATGAAAATTAATTTTAATTATTCTGATACGAATTCGGGTTCATTAGGTATTATGATCTCGATTTTACGAATAAAATAAAAAAATTTTGTTTCATGTTGCAGTTAATACATAATTAACAAAAGTTTCAAATGTCTTAATCCTCACGCACGGTAGTATAATTATTGTATCTTTCTCATTTGAATTATTTAATATATACTTAACCGAATCGGTTGAAAATTAATTAAATACTCTACGGATGGCGGAAAGTCGAGCGGTGCGTGCATTTCACTCGTTGCAATCGCGTTATTAATGATGTTTTGCAGGGGGTTAATTTATTCGGCACGATGCGAAGGCGCGTTCCGAATCTAATTATCCCATAAAATCGTACGTTTTATAATACGTGGTTAAATAGTTTGCAATGGGAAACGCGAGAATCGATGAATTAGCGGGCTGTCATCGATAATACAACAGGAAAAACATTGCCGTTGAATTTTCACGAATTTCGTGGAATGATATAATTAAAAATAAATCACTTACCTGGGGATAATCACCGTCCTTCATCTGATAATCGAACACGTAAAAATATGTTTTGGGCATCGGTTCCTTTTCACTTTCCGGCACCGGTGCTATGTGAGGGTTGTTCGGTTTCTTTGTGTGTCTCAGGGTGAATAAATCACCGGTTTGCACCAACGGCGCCACGAATTGGGCGTCGCTTAGTGCCTGGACGCAAGCGTCTTTCGTGTTCACCGGATGTTGGACCGTACGTTCCCAATCCGTATACTCGTTCACCACCTGATGACAAAAGCGAATAGAAAATCAATTATTTAATTCTGAAGGTGAGAGGTATATATTAAAAAAATTCGTGGATTAATATATTAAAACTATTTTTTTTTTATATCTGTATCGTTGAATGGAAAAGGTTTCAGTTTGAAATTCGAATACACTTTCGGATATACTGTTTCAAGAAACATGATATCATGGAAATTCAGAGTTTCCTGAAAATGTCCAATCTATGTTCTTCAGTTGAAAAAAATATGGATTGTTACCAGGGTTTTATATAAATTTAGCAACCTATTTTTTGAAACGCGCTGAAATATTCCATTGTATTTAAGAAAAAACTCCAATTTTTTTTAGCAAACATGACGTGTATTTTCCATTAGCGCTTAATGAATGAACAACGAATGAAACCATTTTGATTATTCGTGGAAACAATACAACAGACTTTGTATTAATTAATATAATAATAACGAACATTTACTTACGGTATAGAATATTTCCGTGAGATGATAAACGTACGCGTTCCTCACGTACGTTCTGATTATCCTGTCTCTTCTTTCGCCCTCGAATCCTTGCTGAACATCCTTTTCTGCGAATTTCCACAAAGCCTCGCTCGTCGTTACTCCAAATAACAGGTCATACTTGTTGTTGCTTGTAATTGGTGCACCGTGTTCAGCCTTCTTTGGCAGTGGTCTGAAACATGATATTCAAAAAAATTTGTTCTATAAATTATCTGTTTCATATTCCTTAAAATGTTTAACAAATTTTGATCAAAGTGAAAATATTGGGCCAGATCCAAAGCCTTGATACATTATCGCTAAAAGCAGAACCATGAATATGCTAATGACTTAGTAGAACAAGACTGGATCATTTACAATTCTGTTAATGAACCGCACTAATGTCTACGACATAATGGGCTACTTTTGCATCTGCTTAACATTTAATGAGTTGCTTCGATAGGTTTGTAAAACCATTAGCCAAAGACATTATGCGAGTATTTTTCTTAGCATCAGTGCGTTACCGATACTTCGATAAGAACGCTTCGAATAATTTATTAAAGAACATTAATGTAATTAAATTTTCACGAAATGTGGGCGTATAATTAATACAAAAATAATATTAATTTTGGAACAATATAATTAAATTTAATGACCAGACGTTTCATATTTACTCCACTTCCTCGTTAATTTAACGTTACACTGTTAATTAATTTCATTTGTTTCCTGTGAAATTCGAGAAAATGAAATTACTGATCCTCACCCAAATCCTTGAAACTCTGGACCCATGTAGGACAGGAGATCCTTTTGGAAATCCGGTTTGATGACCACGCCATCCACACTGGGTCCGAACGCGCTGAGAAAAGTTGGCGGTTGGATGTCGACCTGCATCAACTCTTCTAGGCTACGTTCTCGAAGGCAATCGACGATCAGCTCGTTATCTTTGAGCAGATCTTCAGGAATTGAGCAGTTGACGGCTTTGGCCAATTTCAAAGCGTACGAAACAGGATCCTCGACCACTGCCCATGACGATAGAGCACTTCCTGACAGAAGGATGGCTCTTTTGAATAAACCTGCAACAAAAAAATACCTAATTTGTTAATTCCAAAGGATTTCAGTAAAATTTATTTCAATTTCATCTATCATTTCCCTCTCGCGTAAGTGCAACAAAATTAATTCAAAAGTTTTCGTGTTCGTCTAGAATCTCGAGTCGAGGTTATAACGTATGAAAACATAGGTGTCGTCGAAACGCGAGTTGGTCGTTGCTCGACAAGCACACCTGCGAAAACTTCCATCTTTCGGTATGGAAACTGATTAATTAAGGAACCTACGGGAATCTTCTTTCCTGTACTTTGGCGAGACACGTCTTGGAAACTTGTTCCTTCGTCCCTTGAAACTTTTCACGAAGCTTGCTTCAATGATTTTTCGAACCTGATTGCCTCACGGTGTAATGAAAGATTAATTGGACGAACAATACATATTTCAATAAATATATAATATTCCCATGGTGTACTATGTAAAATTTATGAAGATGCTTGTTCGAGATTGAGTTTGAAATTGAAATGCGCGATTCGATTGTCAAGGTGGCAGTGAGAGGAACTAACGGTTTTGACACTTAGAATAAAAACCGGTATATTTCACAAACACAATATTCACAGTACCTACAGTCAACAGATTGAGCACAAGGAGTTTGGGAGTCAATAAATGATTTATCCGCGTCGCGACGAACTGAGTTTGAGGTTGTGATGTGTAATAAAACTACGCGGTGACTCAACACGTGGTTAACACGAAATTATATTAATTTCGTGAGTTTGAGCTTGATATTATTACTTACGAGCTTGTGCTGGCCATTGGGACTAGTCGTGTTCACGTGAGCGAGATTTTGTTAACAAGAGTTTGAGAATTATAAAACGAAAATTTTACTAAACACGTGTGACATCTACGAAGTGCTGAGCACTAATGGCCGACAGGAGCTGTAGGCGTCGCCTCGAGCTCGCGTCGAGCGCGGTGATTGGCTGGGACGACCGGTATCCATCATGGCTACCGGCCGTAGTTCAGAGTGCTGCCGCGGTCCGCGTAGGGGCGGTGATTGGTTGGGACGACTGGTATCCAACATGGCTGCCGGCCGTAGTTCACAGTATGGCCGCGGTCTGCGTGGGGGCGTGACGGTTTCAATTGGCGCGTAATTGGTTGGGACGACTGGTATCCAACATGGCTGCCGGCCGTAGTTCAGAGTATGGCCGCGGTCTGCGTAGGGGCGTGACGGTTTCAATTGGCGCATTTTTTGATGAATGCTTTTCACGACAGATTCAAGCTGTGTATGATAAGAAGTAACATGCTATGAATTATGATGAATATTTCTGAAGCGTAAAGGGGAAGCTTGAGAAACGAGGAGCTCGATATTAAGCAGGAAACACGACAAGCTCGAGATAAAGAAGAAAATTATACCAGAAGGAATGGTATCGAAGTAACAAGCACGCCGGATATGCTTTTCGACGATCGTCACGTAGCAAGGATAATCGAACCATCGTTCCTTTCCATCTCGGTCAAAGCGCAAGAAATTTTAATAACTTTTCCAGCCAGAGAGCACGAGCCTGACGAGAATAATACCGTAATGACATTCGATTCTCTAATATCTTTGATATCATTAATTTAAAAAGATTCTCAAAGCTGTCGAAACTGGCAGTAAGCTCGCTTTGTTCATTTTCCGAGGAATTACAACAATTAATACGTCTCTGCCATCTCTCTGTTGAACCGGTAATTTATCAAGACAGATTTATACCAGCAATTTCCAGTATCCTGGAAACATCACAGACCTAACGTCGACCAATATCTCCTAGGGTCGGTGTTCCAAGCGAGAAATTCCAGAGTAATGCTACGTTAGCTGTCGATTTCAAGCAAGAAACGAAGGGAAGAAGGAATAGAAGAAACAGAGCAGGCTTGGTTTCACGAGGAGGATCTTGGACATCGAGGGTATCCTTCGCGTAGAGACACCATAGACAGAGAAACCTTGTAATATTTCAAGCGTATGATATTGCAAGAATTTTTCGCGATAAGAAACCTGTTAGTCGATTTCCAAAACGGCGGATAAAACCGCAAACAATCTACCTCTGTTATCGCATCTGGCAACCTTCCGTCTTGTCCTTTTTAACATGGGTGTTTCCGAGAAAATTGGATTGTGTAAAACTGTTGATTTGATTGGTGGACCATCAGGAAACGATATTCTTGTTCTGGATTTCCTCTCGCCTGAAAATTTTGTTCCCTGCCCTTTGGGGATGATTCGAGGGGTTGATTCTCGTCGAGGGCACGACGAGCAAATAGGCGATGGAATTCATCGGGGATGAAGGGAGAATTAGATATTGGGTTTTTATTCGAATGAAAAATGGCATGGTGAGCCCGTTGGGATTCGAAGCCTGAACAATTTACTTGTAGCACGAAAACGTTCGCTGCGCCAGTGAGAGCTTCGCTAATGTTGTTCGTTTTTTTCCTGAACATTGTCCTGGCACTGATTTATCGTTCCTTTAAAGCGCTATGGTTTCCAACAAATTACTGGCTCTAAACAGTACGGCAGATTTTATTTCTACACAGAATTATTCTTTGAAACGTTGACGATTGTATTGTATTCCGGTGTCGAAAAATTTTGAAGGACACAGAGATCGATGAACCTTTGAGGTTGATCGTGGTATCTTTGAGATCGCTCAAGTTTCGTGTCACAAGAGAAATCTGTTCGGCACACATAAGCTCGTTTCTTTTTGGATTCTTCTCGAGAGTCTCGTTAGCGGTGGGGTTCTCGATCGAACGAATCGTTTGGAATCAGCGAACAGTATTGGATTCTAGCATTGAAAGAGAAGAGGTTCGCGACCGTCGACGTCTCGTTACTTATGGGATAACGATTTCTCGGTCTTGGTGTGCTCGATTTTCAGTGAACCACGCTACAGAAACCGAGTTACACAGACGTTTTCGACGATCAGAATATCTTATCAGAACAGTTGACTACTCGGACGACGAACAGAAGCATGAACGAAGAAAACAAAAGGAAAAGGGAAAGGAGGTAACAAAATACGAGACCAGGAAAGCTGAGAAAGCTTCGAAAAAGAGTTCCTTATTTTTTGGCGTGAAGTGCAGAATACGCTGCAAAGTTGGTGGCGTCGGGGACGATGCTGGATTTTTATCGTGTTACAGCAAAGTTTAGCAACTTTCCGCGGGAATCGTCGAGATTGCTCGACGAAGGAAGTCACCTTCAATTGAGCGAACTTCAAACTCGCGAATGAAGGCTGGAAGAAACGTCAGAGTGAAATTAAAGGTATTCCCAGTCGAGTTTTATTTCATCGTTGCTCTTCATCTTCGTTCAGATATAAATTTCACTAAATAGATCTGTCGACGAGGATACAAACAACATGACGAAGTTAAGACAATGTCTTTCAAGTTAAACAGTATGCCGTTTTCGATTCAGAAACACTGACATGCCGCATGCCAGAAACATATGGCCGTACATACCATACTAATTTCACTATAGCCAGCGGCGGTTTACGAATGGTATCGTTTCCAGGATTGAAATTTCATCTTCGAAACGATACACGATCCTTCAGCTTTACGAAATTTCTGATCATTGTTTCAGGAAAGATAGATAGATTGAAAGGTACTTGCCACGTATGACTGTCGGGCTGATGGCGAGAAAATGAACGCAAGCAGCGCCAGTTCCTTGGCCCATCAGCGTCACGTTGTTGGGATCGCCGCCAAACAAGGCGATATGCTCTTTGACCCAGTGAAGCGCCGCAATCTGATCCATGAGACCATAATTCGCGACCCTTGCCTTCGTCTGAGGCGCCACATTGGCGTTCAGGAAGCCGAGCACGCCCAGACGGTAGTTCATCGTTACGATCACTTGGTCGGTGTAGCTGGCCAGCACGCTACCGTCGTACGGGTTTCCGCTGCCCCAATCGTAGCTCTCACCGTGGATATAGAGTAACACCGGATGCCTTCTACCGCTGTCCGCCATGCCTGGAACCAGAGAATTGTCCTGTTAGCATCACTTTATACAAGCGTGATCGCGTAAACTAGGCTTTAGGTTGTTTGTGTACACGTACAGTCTCGCTTGCGCACTTGGGGATTGCCGGAAGAACAATATTTACGTTTGAAAAGGCTTCGCTGATTTACGCGCAGCCTCGAGCAAAGCTCAAGAACGACTGAACGTACAGACTTTCTGACATTTCATTCATTTGTGGTTTTACTGAGAATGAGTTAAATAAAATTTAACACTTTAATTGTCACGACAGATCTCCAGAAAGTTTCATCAATTTGAATTTTAATTAATTTAATCTATTTAGTTTTATCGACGAGTAATTGCATTCAAGTAATAATGAGCGAAAGAATAACGGTACCGCCGGGCCCTCATTCTCATGTAAACAAGGTTGCAGAATACTGATGAAAATGGGAGATATAACAATGCAGAGCTCCCAGTCCACCTTTCCATCGGATACCTCGACGTCTACGTTTACCAAGAAAATAAACGAGAAACCATTCGTTACCAGCTATCCCACAAGAGCCACCCCGATAAAGAATTGAAAGGTCCTATTAATAGGAAAACACTTTCGAACCCGTTGCAATATAATCCACCCATCTCGCTTCCGTGTTATCGTTCACATTTCACTCCGAGGTCCCTGAACTCGTCTTCAAACCAATCTACCGAACGTCACCGTCGCTGCTTGCCTAAAATATTAACGATTCACCTCAGACGTTCAGCAAACAGTCGTGTTCCACGTGGGAAGGAAACGTTCGTAGCGAAAATTCAACTCAGACCAGGAACCATCGAATTCTCTTCAAGGCGTGTGCCAATCTTTTTGTTTTCTCTCGTTTTATTTTTGCCATGCCGCGGTCGTCCCTTCAAAACAAGGGACTGGCATTGTTCCTCAAGGAGTCTGTCAACGATTTGGGAGAAATGCAAATGTACCTGGAGGAATTAACCACGTTCGATTTGTTGAAAATAAATAATTTCGCCAGCGAATTTGCGTAAAAGTGAAATTCGAGCAGCTCGTCCACCTCTTATCGCGGCACACCACCCCTCGACGTATTTCCATTCGAGCGACCATACCAATGTCCACAGGGAAAAGGAGCGATAAAGAAAGCGACCCTTGAACGACCCTTACCGAAACAAAGACCGATGTTGACCGTGTGTCTGGCCCTATAGAAAAGTTGCAGCCGCCTGAAGAGTTCCATCCCACGGTACTAGCGGAAGAGGAACGGGTGGTAGCCTGCCAAAGAGGATTCAACCAGGTCTTCGCCTTCCGCTTCAGAAAATATAGAAGCTCGAGCTGTTCTAGACCATTGAATAACCGTTTCAGGGGATACAGCCGCTTTAATCAGCGAGACCAGATCGACGGAGGGAAGAGATGCGTTAACGCGTAATTCTAGTAGATCAATCTACGTTTGTGTCGACATCGAGCCTCGGGATTGCCTCCAACCCTCTGACTGAGATCCGACTGCAATTCAGATGGTTCTTTCTCATCGCTTCATTTATTTTTTATCACTCTGAATTCCGGGAAGTAATTTTTCAAAATAATGTTAAGCCTTTACAGTCGTAAATCCTATTATTTTACTCAGTAACCTTTTCTCAATAAAAATCTGAAAAGCAAGTTGAGATTAACGAGAGAGAATTTCTTTTCACCCGAAAAGTACCATAGTTTTATCTTATATTTTTCCCTGTTTTATTAAAATTAAAAACATACGTGAACATTTGCGAAACAAAAGTTTTATCTTTGACGTAGTATACGTAGAAACACGAATCGAGTGAATCGTTGCAGCTTGAGAGGTAGCTTTGCTATCACGTTTTCCATTTCGCTCTCGTAGTTTTAATTTCGTTCCCTTTTCGTCGAGATGGAAGTTGTAAATTACAGAGGAATGCGTTTTTCATTTGTGTTGAAAGGAAGCAGGTTATTGAATTTAGTAGATACTTCCTAAGTGACGCGTCCCTTTTCAACCTTCAAACACTGCTTCTAATTGAAACAGCGTTTGATAAGTTTCATACTATGTGCAGGAGTATCGAAATACTCGAATAAAAATATACAAAGTAGAACTCTGGTATTCAACTTCGTCAAGATGCTGCTTGGATAAAAGACAGGCGAGATTCAAGCAGAAATTCATAAGTTTGATCAGCTCCTTCCTCTTTGTGCTTTTACGATCTTCAGTTCAATTTCTCGATTCTCAGGAGTGCCAAGGACTTCTACCAGACATTATTTCGTCACTTTCAACCTTTTAGTCCACCCTCAAATTTCCACGATTTACGATATACCGATGCACTTCCTCGAATCAATTGAAAGAAACGCCAAGCTTAAAAGCTTTTATCAAATTCGTAACACAGAAAATTAAGAAAGAACCGAGTAATAAAATCTTCCGAAGGATCGCTTCTAGCATTTCCACAATATCGTTTCTGAACCAGCTTGATCGATTTTCTATCACACAAACGCAGTCCAAACGAGCTGGGAGAAAGAAGAGTGTCCTACGATTTACGTCAATGTTTCATGCACAATACGACCTTCAATCGTCGAATCTGGCTCAATTTCCCCGAACATTACAACCCTTTATAATCCATCGATGTTCCGTTTTGTCAACAACAGTATCCGTTGTCTCTTTGACTCAAAAAATCCCGTGGCAAATAACCGAGTCCCGTTTGCCGTCATTGTCAAACAAATCCTTTTGTTTAACGTCATGCGAATACCAGGCCAACGAGTCGTGTTTCAACCCCCTGGAGGGACAGCCGCGAAAGGGTTGCTCGCAGATTGCTCAGTTTTTGAAAGGGTGGTTCGAGCCTTTTCGAAAGGGTGGTTCGCGGATGCATTGTACTCTGGCCGTATGGAGAAGTGCAATAGTGCGGTGACTATCCCACCCCCATACTCGCACCCTATTTCAACGAAATCAAATTGGTGGCTGCGTTTAAGTAGCCATCCCCTGGACCTCGTTTCACCTCGTTTTGCGAGATCGATAGGGGTGAGAGTAAATCAATGGAGATGCTTTATGAGAAACTGGGTTGATTTATGCAGTTTCTACGATGAATTTGACGATGTTGCCGAAGTTCGACGAATCCGCCGACAATGTAATTTGTCTCTGTAATTTTTCTCAACGTTTGTCGTATTTATTTTGTCGATTTTACAAGCAGAGAAGAGTTTCTCATCATCCGGATTTTCCTTCCTTCGGTTTCTCATCGTACTTGAACGGCTCTTTGATCCTTTTCCAAGAATTTACTCTTAATCAAGCAAGTAGTTCGTTGAAAAGGTGTGTTCGTAAAGTAACCGGCAGTATTTAGGAAAGTTGTTTACGATGGTCGACGCGTTCCTTGCTTTGCATAAACACGGCTCAGTTTATTAATGCAACGTGCGTGGTGGCTCGTTCGACGCCCGAGTTTCGCTCGATATTTCATTTAAACATTATTTACGGGATCGTGCACCGCTGACGAATACGAATCGCCAGCCGAGAGCGTCGATTTCATTTTTAACGAAGTGACTCTCCACGTTCATCAACCTCTCTCAGCTATTATACCACGCTCCAAGTAAAATAAATACTCACTTTATATCGAAACCTGTAATTTTCATCTTTCCATTACCGTTTTCCAGTTAACGTTAGCAATTTCATTCTAGCCAGACTCCTGATCTCCTGATCAGATATTTGAAATGATCTGTACCGTGATAACAAAGCAACGTGGGCGAGTCTTCTGAAACGTCACACCTTCGATATTTCAAATTGGGTATCACGATTCGACACCATTTTCGTCATTATCTCGTACCGAATCTTCAAAACGCAACTTTCGAACCGAAATAACAGAGTTCAAGAGTTCGAATCCGTCCTCGTTTGTCAGCGAACGTTATCGTTCCAAAAGAAAGTTGAAAAAGCTGGCATCTAGCATCGGAAGATCGAGGTCGCTGATAACGGAGAAACTAGGAAAATTGTGTTCCATTCGAGGAGGGAGTATCGTCCAGCGGTGAAAGAGGAAAAAAAGAGGAGGCTTTCGTAACTGGCCTTTGTCATCCAGCGGTAAGAGACAAATAACCGTGGTCCGCCTTTTATCTTGCCACCTAGGGGAACCACAAAAAGACATTCGCAGTTTCGGTCCATTCTGGACGACGGACGTCCTCTGGATCTCATTCTTTTCCACCGTTACGATTTGTGCCCCGGCTTTCTCGCAAAAGCGACGTCTAAAGTGGGACAAGTTGAAAGTGGTTTCCAACGCTCTCGCGGAACAAAAAATAAAAGAAAAAAAAGAAAAAAAAAATGAACGAGCCTCGACAAACGGATTCAGCAGGCTTCAAAGACGACCGATTGTTCGAGAGGCATCTTGCACGCGATTCCGTTTCAACTTCTCGACCCCCTTTTTCGCTGTAACTCGTCGAATACTTTCTACTTCACCACTCTATTTTCCTATTATTATTATTATTTGCTCACTTCGGATTCCACCATGAAAACCACAACAACCTAACTTACTTAACTCGGTTAAAAATCTGTACAATTAAAAAGAGAAACAGATTACAGCAAAAGTTAGTGTACATTCAAGAGGAAAGGTTCGTTTAAAAGGAGCACAAAGAAGTCGAATCTGCGTATACCTTGATACAACAATCGAAACACATCCACGAGAACGATCTACGTGACAGAGAAGAGTTTCAGGTAAGCACGAACACAGCTAGGAAAGGAAAGTACACGGTTCCAAGTTGCCGTGATCCCGTCGCGCTTCTGGCTCGCGTTGGAATGCATAGACATAACGTAAATCCATGTTTACTATGCTAATACCGGCGAACTTGCCGGCTGAAAGACGCCGAGAAACGTCCTATCAAATATGCAGCGCTACTTGCACGAGCTTCTACAGGTCGAAAGAAAAGAGACGAGGCCGGTTGAGCAACGAGGAAGCTCGTTTTCGTAGAGTCTCCGTTAGACCGGAAGCTTGGCCCGTGTCTTCGACTTCTCTTCCTTCGAGCCAGCTACTTCGCTCGGTAAATTTCTTTATGAACACGACGGAT